CAGCAAGCCCCAGTCCACTGCCGATGCCAAACCCGTCAGTATCCCTTTGAATGTGCGAAGGTGCAGCTTTTGTAGCGGACCGGGGTATGGGCCAATAAGAAGCCAATTATTAAAAGGTACCTAACCACACTAAGAAATTGTATGATGATATAAGTACCAGCAATCTTTGGATTTACACAAAGCTACCTCGCACTTATCGCAGCCGAATTGGGCGTACGGGGCCTTTTTGGCCCTATTCCCGGAGACCTCTGTAAGCGCTGTTTTTTGGCTTTGTGACCTAATTTGACCACATTGAAAGCCTTGACAAGCGTGGCATCAAGCCCTTTTCCCTCATCGGACAAGATTATGCTGTGATAAGGGCGTAAAAATGTCGCCCGCCTGAAATCTCTGCCGGCTCGAGGCAAACAAATAAGGCATTATCGGCTGTTGAGATACTCGCGATGTCACTTTTTGGCTCCATTATAAAGGCCGGAATTATTAGTATGATAATTTTGGTGTGGAAGGTTTAGTGGCTGACCTTGTTGCAAGAAAGGTACCGGCTAGGTATCGCAGAAAAAGTGGGTCCGTTACAAAAGCTGCACCTTCGCACATTCAAAGGGATACGAAACATGTTTTATCCTGATCTGCATGGGCTTGTTCTGCTGTTCCTCATTTTTCTTTTCAATTCGCGGTTGCTATATTTAGACAGCCTCCTGTCAGCCAGTCGCACATTTAGCCGAGAATGTCAAATTAACCGCTCGATTCTGTGCGGCAAAAAGACACTTGTCTGCGCTCTTTTTTTTTTTTCCCTTCTCAAATTAGCCCACAATGTCTCGGAACAGGACGCCAGTCTCTGCCGGACGAATCACGTGTCCATGCTTTTTCCCCCATGTTTGGATGGCAGCCATTCGGACTCTCCGCCGCCTAATTTGCCCGGAAATACCCTTTCTGCTAAGGGCAAACACGGAAGAGAGAGAGAAGGAATGCCACCTTGGGTACGGGGTAATATTATCAATCAGACACTTTGCCCTCGCCGCCATCCCGGGATATGCATCTTCTGGACCAGTCTCGTGCCCTTGTCTTTTTGAGTTGTCTCCCCCCTCCCCCTCCCACCACCACCACCAGCTGTATATGTACAATATCATGCGTGACATGTTTTTCTTTGTCCGGAAGCTTGGGGCAGCACCTGGCCATGGGATTTTAGCTCGTTTCTTCTTTTCATTTTTTGGTTCCGGCATTTTTAGTGCTGTGGGGGATCCGCTCAGGCATCGGCGAGAATCCGAACCGATGTTTTCGCCACGGCGCAATGTTGAGTGTCAGGGATGAACGTGTTTCATTCCACGACTGCGACTGTTGTAGTATGCAACGCTACTTTGCTGTCTTGGGGTTAAATGCATGACTGTGGGCCTTGGCATGTTGCGATGCGCCCGGTAGATCTTGTCGTCGTGGCCTTGAATTCGCGTCCTTGTCTCATCCTGCAGACACCGTCATGATCACCAGCTGGGAGTTGGAATAATATTACTGTTGCAACTCCTAGTATACACACACAATAAGCGCCTTTGGAACAGCTGCTTCGTGCCCGTGTCCTCCTATCGAGCATCCTCCTCCGGCCACCGACCAGGAGGTCCATCCCCATCATCATCATCATCACCACCTCCATCCTCTTGCTCTTCATCGCCTCCCTCGTCATTCGCCCGTCGACCGACACCCAGCATCTGCATCAACGTGCCCAGAATACCCTGCTCGTTACTCCAATTCATGTGGGCCTCAATATCCCTCTGCAACTCTTCATCATCTGCCGCTCTCAGCGCCCTGACTTCGTCATCGTCCTCGTCCTCGTCCTCATCCACGGCATTGTTCATCATGCCCATCATTCCTCCTCCTGGCGCGACTGCGCCTTCACCACCAGGTGCCACGCCTCGCCGAGCAAGCTGATTTTGCATGCGAGCCACTAGATCCGCAAGACGGCCTTGGCCCCCGTCCTCATCCTCCTCTTCGTGACCGCCCCTATCCCGTCCCCAGGGTAGTCGTGCACTTTGCGCCGTGAAAACATTCTGCTCCAGCGGTGGCGGCAAGGGGTCGAATTCGTAATTTGGCTGCGCATCCAACAGATCCCGCGGCGCCACGGCGAGCAATGCCGTTTGACCCTCGAGGTAGGCTAATCTCGTCACGCCTCGATCGACGACCGGGTCTTGCAGAGGAAGAGACGTCACGTCCACCTTGTCCAGACTCTTGGCTACTTGTTGCAACAACGCCGTAGCCTGGGCATTGTTCCACAGATCCCTGGTCTGGTGAATGTACAATTTCACCCAGAACTTTCGGGAATCCGAGTCTGCGCTGATGCCCCATATGGAAGGCGGCGCGTCAAGATTAAGCTCCTGGAACAAGGCGCAATACAGCCAGGGCACCGTTTCGATCCCATGCTGGAGAATTTCCCGAGCCCCGGGTCCGTCGTTGATCTGGAGCTTGGCGAGCACGAGGCTCTGTCGCAGATAGGCAATGTCTGGGTGATGTGCAACAAGTTCCATTTGCTCGGTGAACCCAATCAACCACCTTGATTCGTAGGCTCGCAGAGCCAGCAAGTGAATATAGTGTCTCATTGCGTATGGATCCTGCGGATCCAAAGAATACAGCAGCTTGGCCCATTCAAGAGCCGTTCGAAACGTGCCTTTTCGTATCAAGCTGCGCAGGTAGTGAAACCCGGCAAGCCAGAACTGGCGATTCTCTGGGCGTCCAAAGTCGAAACGAGCACGGCCGTGCTCGATATCTTGGCGGAACGCAGATGTGGTTACTCTCCCAAAGGTGAAAAGCGCTCGTTCGCAAAGTTCCGCCGCCAATGCCATGTTTTGGTCCTGCTTTGCTACACTGCTGACTTGGAGTAATGTTGAAACATGATATGCTGCACGAGAAATCCATTCATATTAGCTTTGTTTTTCTCTCCAATTTCAGGGGGGGGGGGGAAATAATAAAAGGAAGAAAAAATGGCAACAAAGATTTTTACATACGAGCTTCCTTGAGCAAATGCACCATGCGCATTGGATCTCCGACTTGTACAAAGGCCCAGAAAACCTGTTGCACGGAATCATAATTCTTATCGTGGTGATAGGCGTATTCAGTCGACAGTCCATCGTCCGACTTGCCAATCTCCGTCATGGTCAAACCGCCCGCCGACTGGCGTGGCCAGTGATCCTTGCCCTGCACGAATATATTCCGTCGTAGCGATACTTCAGGCAGCTTCTTGGCGCCAGGCGGTTCTCGCAGATACGTCTCCAGATCGACTTGTCGGGGCATATGCTGCCGCCTTCTGCGGTTCTGCTGCTCTTGCTGCTCCTCTGCGTTGGCGGACTCGATAACCTCGCGGCCGAATAGGTTGCGCATTTCGTTGATGGCTCTCAGGTGGTACGGGTTGATGGATAGCAGCTCATTCATTCGCTTCCGCGGTCCTATTGCTTCGCTGTCTTGCTCGTCTTTCCCGGAGCCAGAGTTTATCTTCGTAGCGCCAAGTTTGAGCTCCTTGATGGCCTTGTCAATCTCGTCCTCGTCTTCGTCCTCCTTGGCATTTTCATGAGTTTCCTGTATCGTAGCGGCAGTCTTGGCCTTTTTACTCTTTTTCTTCTTCTTCCTGCTCTTTTTCGAGCTGCTGGGCGCTAGTTCAGCCGTTGGCAATTCTGGTGGTTCCATCAACGGCACGCCGTTGTCCTCGTCGTCTTCGTCGTCCTCGCCCCCCAAGGCTGCGAACAGGTTCGGGCGTGGTCTGGGCGCCACTTCGGCAGGCTCTTCGACATCTTCGCCCGCTTCGGAATCCTCTTGAGCATTTTGTTGAGCTCTCTCCAGCTCTTTTTGCTGCTGAAGCTTGCGTAGCTGTCTACTCGACATGGCGTAGTGCAGACTGCCTGTCGCTCGGGCCGTAGTTGCAAATGCGATGACGGGAGCCGGATATCAGACGCAAGATAGATCCACTGCCGATAGACTGGCTGCATTCGCACACAAGCTTGACGGATGTGCCACAAGAGAAGCGGAAGCACGTTGCAGGACAAGCAAGTTGGCGATATTCAACCCAATCAATGAATATATGCTGGATCAACTTGAATGTGGCGCTACGGAGCAATTTTGTGTCACGCCGAGCTGCATGACGTTTGGTGGGGTTTCTGTCCAACTCACAGCTCCTACCGCCTTCAAAAGGAAGACCAAATAACCATCCTGGACCATACGGGCCCCTTGAATGTTTGAAGTGCCTTTGTTCACTCACAAACCACCCAAGGGCCATGGCCGCAACCCCTCATACCATTTCATCTTTCGTACATCCAATCATTACCAGCATGTCCGTAGCGGGGCCGTGCTAGGAGTCCAATCTTCGTCCGGATCATCACATTCACATGCACATGCTTCGGGATTTACAACTTGAGCTCGATAGTCATATTGTCTAATAGTGGCCAATTCTTCTAGTTGCGAGAAGCCCGGCACTGTTTCGGATCAAGCGCATTTTCCAACTTAGAGGTCACTGACCACTGGTTTACACTTTCGGCTTTGACGTCATTTAAGACGTCTGCCCGCAATCCCGCTGTGTGAAGAGTATCAAAAACCAAAAGCAAGTATTCGTCTTTCCAGCCATGCAGAGTGCGTCATGTTTCACGTTAACCTGCCCCCTCATCCCTTACGTAAATCCAAATCCAAACTCCCATTGTTTTTGATCTTCCATGATGAAGAAAATCATTGCTTTCATATCGTCCCACTGCCGCATAAAAAGACACGCGCATCCCGTACCTAGTCGCTTGAGCCACAGAGCGCCTAAGAAAGATCCCAAATATGTTGTTACACTATTACAGACCAGGATAACAAAAAGAAACAAAGAAGCAAGGCAGCAATGAGACGCAAGAGAGTATGTGCTTTTGTTCAGATCATAGAGCGTCCATAATGCTTCCCAAAGGATGTAGAATGTTCGTGTCGTTGATAATAGATGGACGGCGGCTATTAATAGCCCAGTCATCGTCATGGGCAGGTGTCGCCGTTCTGCTTCGTCTTTACTGATCGGCGACAGTCGCCGGGTATTGTGGGCGGTTACCACCACGACCGCCCCGGCCAAATCCTCCTCTGCCACGGCCTCCACGGCCTCGTCCGCGGCCACGGTAGTTGCGGTATCCGCCATCAACGCTGCCCTGTCCGAACGTTTCCATATTTTTGCGCTGTTCTTCTCCTCGCCACTCTCGCCCACCAGGTTTCTGGCCACCATTTTCGGCTCTCTCTCTAGATTCGCTAGAGATGTTGTCGAAGAATGACCTTGACTTGTTGTAGGGGCCAGTAGGATCAGGATTACTTGGGTGTGTTTCAGGTTCTTTGATAACAGTCTCGCTTGGAGATTCGACAACATCGCCACTAGCAATAGCCTCCTTGACAATATCCTCCTTGTTGAACTTGGCATTAGACTGAGCGAAATCAAAGTCAGAGTCAGGGACTTCAACCTTCGCAGCTCCCTGTCGCCCGCCTCGTCCACGACCACGGCCGCTAGACGTTCCTCTGTTGGCGTGAACTCGCATCTCGTTGACTTTGCTCGTCAGGTTGTCCATGGCAGTACTTCCGCTATTGCCAAGCTGGGCCATTGCAACGGCAACTGCAGCCCGGGCGGCACTAGTGGCATCTTCAACACTGGGTGGTGCCGCAGTTGAGGCAGTCCTTGCACTGGCAGAAGGAGGAGCTGGTTTCCCAGTATTAGGAAGTTGAAATGGTTTAGGAGCATTGCCCGTAAGGGGAACAACAGGTGTGGGCCGCGTATGTGCCTTGTTCTTGGCGGTTGCAGAGCCATTGCTTAGGTTCGTGGCAACAGCCTTTACTTCCTCAGCTGAAGGTTTGGATTCAACCGGTGGATTTGGTGCATTGGCAGGTTGTCGTCCGCCCTGGGCGAGAGACTTTGGTTCGGTTGGTACGGGCCCAGATGTTTTCGCTTGATCTGCACCTGTGCCTGATTTGACATCCTGCGACGGGCCGGATGGCGGGACCCTTTGGGCTACATCTGGTCCTGGAGGGCCGCCAGGGCCACCTGGAAACTGGGTGTTGCTCCAGGGTCCTGGACCTGGCGGGAATCCTTGACCAGGAGGTAACCATCCCGGAGGCGGTGGGTAAGGTACTCCAGCAAAGCCAGGGCCTGGCATAGGGCCAGGGCCGCCACCGCGACCCCAAGAGTTGGGTGGTGGCGGTCCGCCGTAGGAGTTGTTTTGGGGAGGGTA